CCCCAGCGCTCCCTGTGCGCTTGGGTCACCCGCAGCGAGCAGCACGTTTCTACTGGTGAACGGCTGCACGTGCTTCCCTGCACATCACATTTATTCTGCTAACATGGCGCATGGGCATGTACTTGGCAGAGTTCACCCCCATCCCGACACCTGCCCCTTCTGCAGCACGAGGGAGAACCTGGCGCACACCTACCCAGAATGCATCAGGTTGCAGCCCCTTTTCCAGCTCCTGAACCTCTTGCTGAGTGTGTGGGTGCACTTTGCTGCACGTGCTTCCCTGCACATCACATTTATTCTGCTAACATGGCGCATGGGCATGTACTTGGCAGAGTTCACCCCCATCCCGACACCTGCCCCTTCTGCAGCACGAGGGAGAACCTGGCGCACACCTACCCAGAATGCATCAGGTTGCAGCCCCTTTTCCAGCTCCTGAACCTCTTGCTGAGTGTGTGGGTGCACTTTGCCTCACTCCTTTTTATTTACGCACAGCCCACCCAGCGTCCCCACAAAGTCGTGAGTCCTTGTCAACCTCCTCTTGGCCCTGGCAAAAGCCGCTATATACAATACCAGCAGAAGGATGCTAGATGAGAGGGTGCTCTGCGACTATGGGGCCTACTTCTGCTCCTACCTAGTCTCACACATCCAGGCAGAGTTCCTCTGGGCAGCGTCCACTGGCTCTGTGGATAGCTTCGAGGAGCAGACCCCGTCTGAGGGTCTCTGCTGGAACCATCCAGTTCCCTCATTTTAAACCTTTGACTACACCCCAACCCTGGTTTTCATCATTTGTCCCCCATAATCAACTGAACCCTGGGTCCAGTTGTCCTTCCTGCAAGGCTGGGGCTCCCCCTAACATAGGGGAACCAGTGCTGATGCTCCAGCTGCCCGCCTAACACTCACGGGGCTGGAGCACACAACATCTCCTCTCTTAGGCCCCTCCCTCCGAAGGCTCTGGTGTGCGAGGGGAATGTGGATAATGTCTTTCTCATTTGGGGGGGCTGCCTCAATGAGGGTTTGGGGGGTTGCTTCTCACTTGTGTGTGGCCCCCCACTGATTTTTCTGTGGGGCAGCAGCCCTCAGCCCGAAAAAGGTTCCCCACCTTGTGCTACACCTTTAATCTATGGATCAGAGTGATTCCGCTGCTCCGTAAGGGTTTCTCTAAAGCAGGCCCTGGCTGTAGTACACAGACAGTCCCTTTCCAAACCAGGAGCTGGAGAGATTGGGTTTGGAGGGAGAATTTGCCTCTGCTCTGAGAGAATGTGTCTGGCGGACTGGAGCCTTGTGGCCAGTGTATTCGGTCTGTGAGACAACGCTGATGCCGCAAGTATTACTGCAGCCACATCCTGCTTGTGCTTTCCTATGACCCTGGATATCAGGGGAATGACATACAGGAGGCCTTGAGACCAGGAAAATGGGAGAAGTACTCTGGAGGGAGCCAGTTAGTTAGTGACAGACATGGGCGATCTCCTCTGTGGAACACAGGGTCCAGAGCAGAGACCCTTGTGGGACTAGTGAGAACTGCAATTGAGGTAACCCACAGGCCTGTTTCTTCCCACAGCTCGTACTCTGGGTTACAATCTCTAAGCAACTAGCAGAGGTGCCTCAGCCTCCCCTTTCATCAAGAGCCCAGGTAACTTCCTCAGAAGTAGCATTCCTCTTTCTGAGATCCGCAGGGCGGCCCATGCCTTCCCCGTGCATTAACCTAGGATCTGATTCCTGGTTGTGATGCCAGATGTGGGGGATCCTTGTTTAGTCAGCTCTGAAATATTGGTCTAAAAGAGTACAGCTTGCTCAGGCAGGGCAGGCGGGGAGGGGGAGGAAAGGGAGGAGGTGTTGCCTTGTGTATCAAATTTATAAACACTTGCACTGAGATTTAGGCAGAAGTGTGGGGGGAGGCAGAACTTTTGAAAGTTTCTAGGTAAAGATATAAGGGTAAAAAACCAAGAGTGATGTCATGGTAAGGGTGCATTGTAGACCACCTCGCTAGGAGGAAAAGTAGATGAACTAGGATTTCCCCTAGCTCCCAAATATTAGGAAGGTACTAGCTAGTTGCTAGGGTGAACGCCACGTGACAAGGACTCCCATAAAGAGCAAGTACTTTCCATAGAGTTACTGTGGTTCTAGCTGCTTTATCAGTGGGAAGCCACGACTCACCCTTCTCTGCTTGAACTGGGTTTGATACTCAAAGGCTGTGTCTACACTGGCAAGTTATTCTGGAAAATCAGCCACTTTTCCGGGAAAACTTGCCAGCTGTCTACACTGGCCACTTGAATTTCCAGAAAAGCACTGACGATCTAATGTAAAATCATCAGTGCTTTTCCGGAAAAACTCTGCTGCTCCCGTTCAGGCAACAGTCTTTTTCCGGAAAACTGTTCCGGAAAAGGGCCAGTGTAGACAGCACAATAGTGTTTTCTGCAAAAAAGCCCCGATCGCGAAAATGACGATCGGGGCTTTTTTGCGGAAAAGCGCGTCTAGATTGGCCACAGACGCTTTTCCACAAAAAGTGCTTTTCCGGAAAAGCGTCCTGCCAATCTAGACACGCTTTTCCGAAAATGCTTTTAACGGAAAACTTTTCCGTTAAAAGCATTTCTGGAAAATCATGCCAGTGTAGACGTAGCCAAAAGGTTTTCTCCTGCAGCCCACAGCTAGAACAGCAACGTGCAACCAAGGCTAGTGACTGGGCCACATGAGTGACCCTCCGTCACCTCAGTGGGCCGCAAGATTATCGTAACCAAGACGGTCTCCTAGGACAGGGCAGTTTGCTCTTAGTGCTTGTGTACCTAGAATTTGCAGGGTGTGCCAATGGGACCATGGCAGCGCTGTGATTGGCTGCAGAGTGCACACAGGCCACAAGTTGCCCACCACTGGTCTAGATACCCAGGGAAGACAAAGCGGCTCTAGAGACTCTGGAAGGAGCCGGAGCCAGAGCCAGAGGATGGATTGCTCCAGCAGAGTGTTGGCCACTACTAAGACCGGCCAGCCACTTAGGGGGAAGGGCTACATCTCGCTCCCACAGCCAGAAAAGGGAGCAAGAGGCAGGCAGAGCGAGTGGGAGTAGGAGCACATTCAAGGGGCTAGTGCTGCTCGAACCGCTGCTGGTCAAACCAGAGACACATGAACTGTCAGTAAAATCCCCCTGGACAGACACAGAAGACCTCCAGGCTGCCGGGCACCAGGAAGTCGAGGCTGCAAGAAGCGGGTGATGGGTGGCAGCTGGAGAGGCCAGGAGGCACTGGTTTCCCCAGAGCAAGGGTTCCCAAACTTTTTGACACGGGGACCAGTAAATCCATTCACGAATTTTTGGAGGACCAGTAATGGTCATTTGCATATTTGCATATTCATTAATCAAATGATGAATATTCAAATAAGTTATTTCTGGTCCTCCCAAAACCCCCAGTGCCAGCTTTAGCAAAGCTTTTGATATGGTCACCCATAATATTCTTGCAAGTTAAGGAATATGGATGGGATAAATGGACTGTAAGACAGACAGAAAGCTGGTTAGACCA